ATATATATATACTGCCTTTTTAACCCTTAATTCTTGACTCAATGTTATTTGTAGTATTTAAAAGTTACATTAAGCTGGGCTTAATGCCTAAAATCCCAGCACTTAGGTGGCTAAGGTAGGAGGATTGCTGAGTTCAAGGCAAGCTTGGACTACACAGAAAGATCCTGTCTCATGTCAATGTGCTTCAGATTGTTATTAAACTTTATAACAAAAACGGGTTTCAGTAAGATGAATAACTTTGGATTGTTTTTTACACACAGGTTATATATGATGTGTGTGTATATATATATTTTTTTCATTATTAAGTCATTGAAATTTATTTATTTCATACTCTTAGCTATGAGTTTATTTTGCCTTTAACATTTTATTCTTGAGGCTGTCAGAAGTTTCTTAAGTACATTTATGTGCAGGCATTTTCACATTTTATTGTATAAAATTAATATGCTGCTAAATGAACATGGGTAATGTATTCCAATCTGAAGTAAATTATGCTGAACTTGAGAGGACTCTAAGGAACATTTAATTTGACCCCTCATAAAGGTGAAGAAGTTGAGAATTAGAGAAATCCAATGATTACTGTAATTATATATCAAGTAGCAACCTAAGGAGATTAAATACAGTTTTCTTAACTTCATAATATTCATTTTGAAACTGTCAAATTCTATTACTAGTTCCTAACACAACCACAAGACTAAGGTAAGGGATATGTAAAAGGAAGAAGGTAATAAAAAATTAGTAAATTACAGCCATCCTTCTTAGAGTACATTCTTTGATAATTAATATTCTTCACTATAGAAAGTAACTCACCTGATACCACTCTCATATGATTGGGAAAGGATCTTAGATACTTTCTTGTAGCTGAGACACAAGCCCAACACCCGTGACTTAAAGGAGGGAAGGTTTATTTTGGCTCAGAGTTTGTGCAGCTTTCAGTCTACAGTTGGTTGGCTTGAAGGCACAGTGCACAGCAGAAGGACACAGCAGGGGAGAAATAGCTCATGGCATGAATACAGGAAACAGCCCCATCAAATATTCTTCCTCACCGCACCCACAGTGACCCACCAGTTCACATGCACCCATGATCCAGTTACTTCCAGAAAGTCCCACCTATGAGGGCATGAGGCATTGCTGGGACATCTATACATAGGTCACAGAGAAACATTTTGCTATGTAGTATTAACTTCTTGGGAAATGTTCTGTACTCCCTTTGTCCATGCTTTCTGTTGTTCATTGGAATATTTTTCCCTGTACACTGTAAACTGGTAATTCCATCCTGCTTTAATATGATAGTCCATCATATCACCTTTCTGTTCTACTTCTTATACACCCTACCAATGCACTAAGTAGGATTATTCCAGTAAGAAAGCGATCATCTCATAATCAGATATTTAATTAAACACTGACATAGCTCTGAAACTACACACAAGCACATAATGAAAGGTATGAAAAGAGAATCTTTGTAAATAGGGAAGGGTGGAGGGTTTGAAGGGAGGGCAAGGGAATGGGGAAAAAATAAGGACCAAGATACACCATGTAAAGGTACAAGATCCCGAAGATGAATGTAAATGTACTGTATACCTAAAATGTACCAATAAACTCAATAAAAAAGAAAGCCTTGTGATAAAAATAATTCCGCAATATAAAGCAGAATGTTTATGGTCATTTTTAAAAATCCTCTCAAAGAGGAAAGACTTCAGCTGTTAAAATTATTCAGTTTTCTGAAGTGGTTGAAACTTAATCAGTTTGCATGCTTCTTTCACATATATCAAAGTCTGAATACTGTGTGCAAGCTTTTAATTTTTTTGTAAACTGAAAACATAAAGGCAAATGTCAACACTGAAATCCATTTGGTAATTATCATTCCTCAATTAAATGGGACTGGAGGAATTAAATGTACACATTTGTTTACACGGTAAATGGACAAGAAGTGCAGCGGATAAGACTAGATGGATTACGAGTTTTCAACAATAAACTACTGCTAATGAGTTAAGGAAATATAATAAAACTTTATTTATATTGAACGTACTACTTAGCACATAGCCTTAGAATTTAGGAATAAAAATGCCAGTGTAGAAACAAAATTGTTAATGTGAGTGTGAGAAAATACATAACATTCAATAAACCTAAACTCTATGTGAAAAGTACTAACCTAAGTGTAAAGGAAAGGTACTAAGAACAAAGAAGTATAGAAACTGGTGACAATTAGCAAAATACTAAAAGAAATTTAGATTTAAAATTGACACTACAGAGAAGGATTGACAGAAAATGAGAGGATTTCATTTCCGTGGCGAAATTGTTCTGAAGCAATTTGGTCTTTTTCTCCTTAGATTTTGTATAGTGTTGTAATCAAGAAAAGGAGCTGAATATTTACCTAATTAGGATACATCATTAATTTTAGTGTCTCGTGAACTCTGAAAGCCTTTCACCTCTTTAATGAAAGGAAAGAGAAAATAAACTACTTGATTCCCCATTCTCTTACTATCTTAAATTTCTCTAATGCATGCACTTTCTATTCAAAAGAAATACACGCCTTTTAGGGGGATGAAAAATAGTCCTTCATTTTGATCATGGAATTTAGCCCTGAGAAGAAAATATGAATGTATACACAACAATAATTTTAAATAATTCCATAAAATGAATGCACTTTATATTTATGGAAACATACCAAGTCTAAGTCAAGTCAACAGATATTTATTGAACATTTATACAACAATCATTTGTTGATGGTATTTTATGTAAGAAGCATGATTTGAAAGTTATAAAGATGTAAATATCCTTTCATTAGAAAGAAAAACAACTGTATTGATTGCCATCTATGGACCAAGAACTTCCTAAAGTAATGTGCTAAGACAATCAATGGCAAGGATTGGAATATCTTACAAAAATTAACGATCACGTTAACTTATATGTTCCATAAGCATGTAAGATTGAGCTTTTAGGAAGAGGAATTTGCTTGGAGTTTAAGTGGTACCAGTTGCGGTAGGATGAGTGTTTTAGTCCATATAAATTAATGGTGTAATGAACAGCTTCAATGCTCATTTTCTGTAAGGAAAATTTAATTCTGTTGTCAAGCACAGTTCAGCTGAGTTTGTAGAATTGCTAAGCACAGCTCCTCATCCGACTGATCAACCACAGTTTGGGTCTGAATTATGTGACATCACATGTCTCTTTTGCACTACAATGGAAGCAAAAGAGCAAAATAAATTTAAGGCTCAACTTTCTAAAAGTGTATAGGAAAGGTGTAGGAAAGCCACAGTGCATTACAAACACTTAAGGATTGTATACATTTTATAGTTACATTGTTCACAAGGAAAAATAAGGCAAATAAGTAAATTTATAAGATTAAGGTCTAATCAACAGTTTAGTATAAATTTTATCTGTTTTGCTCTTTTGACTTCTGCTTGTTGTTGTTTTTGTTTTTTGTTTTTTATTTTTATAATATTGGGTGCTTTGCTCATAGTAGGCAAGCAACCTACCACTTAATTATATCCTCAGGCCCTATTGTAAATTTCTTACAGACGTATAGAATATTTTTAGGTAACACTAACATGCAAATCTATTTTAAATGATTTTGCATTACAAACATATTTTTTCTCACTAAGAACTTTCCAGCTGCCCTTCAGCTTCCCAAAACCAAATATTCATTTTTTTAAAAATCTATAATCATTGTCCATTCTATTCATTTTTATAAATTCTAATTGAGTGTTAGAAAGAATTGTAGTTTAATTAATATAACTTTGTGCTCTTATATACACTATTGCATATTAACATAATAAGACATATATTTAAACACTTGAGATTATTAGAAAAAAAATCTATTCTATATAATTTGTTAAAGGAAATAATGTTAAACATTTGTTAGTCAAATAATTACTTTCTTAAATCTGAATACACATGAATAATGTTTAAAGTAGTATGCTTTATTTACACACACATGTTTTGGTCTCTTTGGGTAGCTTGCCATTCTCTTATGACTCAAAATTCGTTAGACACAAGACACAATGTATTTCAGTGTTTTGTTTGTTTGTTTATTTGTTTGTTTTTTGTGTGGTACTGGGGATCGAACTCAGGTCCTTGCACTTGCGAGGCAGGCCACCGAACTGCTGAGCTTAATCCCTGGCCCCAACA